GTGTCGGGAGAAAAATTGTTTGAATTTGGGAGGGGATGGAAATTTAGGTCAAATTATCTGATAACGATAATTATTGATACAAGTTTTTTTTTAATTTTTAAATCGACCAAAATATTATGGGTCTTCATAATCGTTCATATGCCTACACAAACAAATCGTAAAACGTATTACGCTGACAACTTTTTGGATCGCATGACAGGGCATTTCGGGTAGTAACCCGGTAGTAACGTAAGTCTATCAAAATCGCCTGGCCCAAACCCCCTCCTCTCTCTCTCTCTCTCTCTCTCTCTCTCTCTCTCTCTCTCTCTCTATCGCATGGCAACGCCCCTGACTTTCATCCACGCGATGCTTTTAACGGAAGCAACAACCCCAACCCCGACGATAGGGAAACGTATCTGTCACGTAGTAATTTAATTCGTTGCATTTCGGATGAGTGATCGAATTGGATTAAGAATCGTGATCCCAAACCGTGTATGTCACTTTTAGCGGGTCCGTCCAGGCGGGTAGTGGTGTGTAATCGAGGAAAGGTTATTATCAAGCCCCTGAGCTGAGTCAGACAGCCTCGTTAAAGATATGTAGTGATTATTGCCTGTTCATCATACCCATGCGAGATATAGCAACTATTTAAAGACGGGAGGGGGGGGGGGGGTAAATAATTAGTTGTGCTCATACGGGAGATACACGTCGGTTAGTGAACCTAGCGACGAATAGTCCTTTCAGAGGCATGTCATGGTTATAATTATGTTTATCAGAAGCTTTGAACTGTCGGAGTGTTTAAGTCCCATTAAAAAAAAAAAAATCTTAGATATTTTTATGTTACTGGGTTTCAAATTTTCTTGAGTCTAATACGATCGCAAAGACTTTCGAAAAATCAATCCAAGGCAATTTCTATAGCCTCGTGTGCCACCTTAATATTGCAATGTGAGAACATTGCGACAATGACAAAAAAAATCATAATCTGAACATGATTTTATGGTATATTATATTATGTAAGTTAGGGGTATTGATATTTCCCTCAAGTAGATTTCTTGAAAGCCTATGCGATCGTGTAATTCGTGTTTGTGGTGAAAGTTGTGACTTGGTCGATCAAGATCATAGCATATTATTAGACAGTGGTTTAATAACAATAATAATGATAATAATAATAATTATAATCTTCTAAAGTCCACTCCAAATTCTATTAAGTTAAACCGAAAACGGAAATTCTTTTTGCCCAATTAATCGTGAGCCCGGCAGCCCCTGAGCAGCGCCAGCTCGACGTTGCTCTATGAGAGGGTATCAATAATTGAATACAAATTTGTTTCCGGGACACACCTATTTCTGCCATCCTAGCATGTATAGCCTATCGAAATTTACAAATCCATGACGTAAGCGCTATTTTTAACATAAATAAATATATAGGGTGAACTTGTACTCACAGAATAACCTGTTGAATCGAAATATGCCTAACATGAGGACTCTTAGGCCTGATTGGTTGACATGCAGCGAGTATATATAGTTGTATACCAACATTTGTAATGTCTCTTTTTCCTTCCAATTATTGATCATTGTAGAGTTGTAGAGGGTGGGGGTGGGGCGTTTAACCCTCATCACAAAATCTTGATCCTAAATGAACTTAGCGAGACATAATTATGCAAGAATTCCCTATCAATCTATTAATTCATTGGATTTGATAACCGTTCGCAAAATGACGAGGGTACTATATCATACTTTTTAGGATAATATTCAAATCATTTCGAACTTTGACTCAAAATAAATCTACATGATATGGTAAAACGGATTACTTCAGTGATTAAAGTCTGTATTGAAGTGAACAAACATCGATTAGCATTTAATAAATCGAAATCGCCCCATTCAACTTTTCGTAAACACATCAAGAACACAAAGAATAAAACAATATACTATTGCGACACATCGTAGGTTTCCATTCAAATATTTAATTATTTTAGGTTAGATAAATGGCCAATTCAAACACTTACGACCAACTTCATATGAAAATTGACAACGAGATACGGTCATTCAGTAGCTATATATTCTAAAACTGTAATGATTCGACAATATAAGAAAGATGTGGAGAAACGGGTCTTCGAGTCTTGAACGAGACTTGTCTTCGCCATAACCTAGAAAAGTCATGGAACAAAGTGGGATGATGAATTCACGATTATATTTGATTACCCATGTTACCGAGATTAGTTTCACCATCTGCCACGAGCAAATCGTCTAAAGATAGTGCAATATACATCGATTGCTTCAATCTTAAATTGTAGGATTTCCAAACAACTAGTTCTGTGTCGACTGTGTATGATATTCCTTTGGGGTATCTTAGGGCCTGTAGTGGTGGGTTGGGGGGGGGGGGGGCGGACACTGGTCAAGTATTGTTTGGTGAAATATCAGCTACGGAATTTCCTGGGACAGTATATATATATTTTTTCGCTTACCCTTTTCCCATTTTATTTTCCTTCTCTCTGTCTCTTTCTATGAATGTCTGTTTTCCTCACTCTCTCTCTCTCTCTCTCTCTCACCCCTGCTCTCCCTCTCTCCCTCTCTCTCTCTCCCTCTCTCTCTCTCAATCCTATCGTATGCGATTGGGGGGGGGGGGGGGCAAGTGTCTACAAAAGCTCTTCAGGTGGACGTACACAAATATGATTTATAACTGATGCAAAAAACTATACACGCAAGTGGACGAGTTTCTCTTTATATTTGACTTGAATTCAAATACCCTTATTTATACACAAACCCATGAACCGGGACCTACATAATACAAGCTTTGCTTTTTAGTACATCCCCCACTTTATTGATTGATTTATATGATTGTATTCTCTGTTATAACTATTATTATGTACATTATGTTTTCTATTTTGTATGTTTAGTTATAATAATTACCACTGTTCATTATGTTCAATTACGTTATTTTTGATAAAGTGAAATAAAATAAACTTGAAACTTGAACTTGAAACTGAAAAGCTAGTACAGTATCTCTTTCTCTCTCTCTCTCTCTCTCTCTCTTTCTCCCCTCCACTTTCGTAAGTATAACACAGCGACGATGTTTTGGATAAACTAGATTATACAGTCTGTAAGCATATGCAGTAAACAAACAATCTGATTAATAAAGAAATTGTAAGGACCCCCCCCCCCCCCCTTGCCTCATGCCCTTTCATTCACTGGTGGAAAGCCTTTCTTGAGAGTAAGGCTTGCAGTTATCGCTTCACTATATTTAATCTTACTGTTGAAAATTCAAAATGGTGACTTTAATACAGACTTCGAAACAATAGTCATTTCTGATACAAAATAAAATCAATTTTATTTAAGAAACTGACCACTGTGGAATAATATAATACTTTATTGTTAAAATCATCTCTTCATAATCATATACAACTTCTATGAGGTATGTAGCATTTCAGTGAACCAAACTGCTATTTGTGAAAATTTCATTTTGAAAATATCATGAAACACAAAAGTACTGCATGTGTACTTCAAGATTTTAGAAATTTGTATTGAATCGGCAAGAATATTAGGAATTTGAAAATTATAAATCACATTGCCATCACCATGTTCTTCCATTGAAAATGTGACGACACCATAACCTCAATAATGATATAATGTCGCGATAAGTAATGATAAGGGGCCCAAGAAGAGATTGGACCTAGACGAGACTATAACTAGCTTTGCTATTGAAATTCTTGGTTCGTATATCATGATCTAGATCGGCTGCAAGTTTTTTATGTTTTACCATATCTGACATGAATAAACAAATCTTCAAGTTGCTCGCAAATAAAGCAGAAAATCAAAGTGTCAATATATTTTACTCAGGAGAATCTTTTCTTTTTGGAGGACATATACTAGTAAATATACTACCGAAAATATATTTCAAGTATTGCCCCTGCAAAGGGAAGAAGCCATGCAGGAAAACAAAAAGAGAAAAAGAAACTAAGGACCATGAATACATCTGAATCCACTGACCAAATTGCCAGTTTGAGATTTGCGTAGATTTATTAATCTGTTTTTGTTTTTCTCTTAATTTGTCTGATTCCTTTCAAACTTTCGCCACTTTGTTTTTTCTTATTTTTCGGCTTCAACACAAATGAAATGCCCTTTAAATTTCGACAGAAAACTTGACTGATGGTAGGTTGACACTTGGTGCTGTAAACACACAGTTGAATTTTGGCACAAACACAATGGCCCAAATTCACAATGGAGGTTTGTCTACAAATATGTAGCTAGGACTTGAACCACAAACCACGTGATTCACAGTCAAGTGACATATCCAGTTATCCACTAGACCACAACACCTCTTCGTTGATAGATATCCAAATAAACAGGACTATTATTCTTTCAAAATAATTCATTCACTTTTCATGAGAAAAGTAACAAAAATCAATCAAATTAAGATTGTCATAATCTTAAGTACAGACGATCAATAAAATTACAATGACATCACACAGCGATAGCAGTAAGGGCACACACTTTTTTGTGATGGTATACATGGTATACAAATTATCTATTATAAAGTTATATAATGATACTTTTGATATATGGCGGCACAATATATTTTGAGCATATGCCTATTCACACATACAAAAATAAAGTTACACACCCATCTCAGTTTCCATAATTGGCTTTCATTTATATAATAATAACATATAACAAAGACTCTCCATGGAAAGTATTAAAGTGGAGAACATTTTTGTAAAGAGGTATAGATGAATTTCTATTAATTTCAAAGAATATCTAAAATATTTCAAATTCAAGTTCAAGGAATATCTACATAATTTCAAATATGAAGAACTTTTATTCAACTATTGCTCATTATTGCTAAATGGTAATTTACCTTCACCCACAATTAAAAGCCGGTATACATATACATGATCAACAAAAAACAGAAATGTTCTAAAATGTCTATATTCAGAGAATATTTGAAATAGTGAAAATAAACAATTGAAAAAAATTGACAGTAAATGCACATATTAAAAAATATAAGTATTAAATGATAATCACCATGGAAATAAGATTGTACAAAGTCTGAGCCTATAAGACTGTAAGAAGGCCCAGGGGCCGTATTCAATTCAGTACACTGATTTAAGTCAGTATTTTACTTAGCATTTTGCTTGGCTAAGTAATATGTCTGAACTAATATTCAGATAACATATGAGCATATTACTTAAGCAAGCTGACGTTTAGGTAAATAAATTACCTATAAGCATTGTAAATTCACATGGTTAATCAAAAATAAACTTAGGGCAAAATGCTTAACCAAAGGACTAACCTGGATACCAAAGTTGACCAAGTATTTTATCTGAACTAAAATCTAGAGTACAATACTCATATTTCTGACATACCGGTAATCATTGAATTGAATACCAACCCTGGTCTTCAGGCTGGGGCACTTAGAGAACCAGATGGCCACTTTCATAGAGATCCCCCGTCAGACCCGCCTCCCTGGCCGCTGTGATGCCCTCTATCCTGGCTCGTAGAACCTTCTCCTCCGTCCCGTCCTGCAGCAGCTTGGAAAAACGAGCTGGCAACGACAGCCACCTGTCCACCTCTTCTGAAGCGACGTCGGGTAGGCCGGCAGCCTCCATCGCCTCGGGAAACTTGGCGGGCGATGCGGTTGCTAGGCAGACGCTGATGGATGGAGAGCTGGGGTCTGGGTTAGCAAGTCTGGAGGGGAGGTGGAAAATGAAATTAAGTTTGTTCGTTTGTGTCTTCTTAGATCAAGATAGTTATGTACAGTTCCTTAATTATATTAAATTAAATTAAATGAAGTTCTTCCATCGCCCGATTGCTGCAGTGGCCGTTTCATTAACGAGGGCCAGGTCTTCATCTGTGCAACCTTCCGCCCCACTGCAAGATGTGGTCCATCGTCTGAGTCTCTCCGCAGTCGCAGAGAGTATCTTCTTCATGGGAAAATGAAGTGACTGAGGTAATACAGTGGAACCTCATTATATCTTATAACAAGTTTTTTTTTAAACCTATTATAAGAAGATTCCTGATATAAGAAGGTTATTTCCATGTTCCCAAGGATCTTGTTATAACTAGTTTCCACTGTAATACCCTTCGCACCTCCACTCTAGCCAGGCGCGTACGCAGGATTTTTTCAAGGGAGGGGGGGGGGAGGGGTAAGAAGACACTTTTTTTTTTTTTTTGGTCTAGAAATTTAAAAATTTGACATTTTGCTCCCTTGGGGGGGTAAGGTCACCTTTTTTTAGGTCAGCCATGGGATTAATTTTTTTTTTTTTTATAAAAAAAAAAAAAAATCCAAAGGGGGGGGGGGGGGGGGGGGGGGGGGGGGGGGGGGGGGGGGGGGGGGGGGGGGGGGGGGGGGGGGGGGGGGGGGGGGGGTTAGGGGGGGGGGGGGGGGTTTACACACAGAAAATTACCAAAGGGGGGGTTAATCCCCCAAACCCCCCACCCCCCCCCCCCCCCCCCCCCCCCCCCCCCCCCCCCCCCCCCCCCCCCCCCCCCCCCCCTGTGTACGCACCTGACTCTAGCTCTTGCCTTCTCCACTGCCGAGTATGCTGCACCTGCATGGAGCCACAGCACCCATGTACACAAGGTTGGTGCTGTCCTCAATGATGCTATGAGACTAATCAGCGGAACACTCACTGCAACACCTGTCAGCAACCTGCCAATATTATCTGGCAAACCACCAGCTCAGCTCAGACGAGATGTGAAGTACACTAAGCTTGCCCAAAAGCATGACAGAGAAAAATGCCTTGTTCCTGCCCCCTCTGCCTTTGAAGGACAGCGTCTCCCTAGAAGATACTTTGCACACAGGCTGCTGAGCTGCGGCCTGAGAAACCCCCCTCCACCTTAGCCACTTGGATAGCAAAACGCTGGTCAGACCAGTGGAATTCATCCACTACCAACCTGAAGGAGTTCATCCCAAAGCCCTGTGCAAAACCAAGTGGCAGCGACCTCCTAAGAAAAGCCTGGGTCAACCTAAACCTTATCAGAGCTGGAGTTGGCCGTACACAATATTTCCTACATAAAATTGGAGCTGAATCATCACCAAACTGCGCCTGTGGAGAGGTCCAAACTATGGATCATGTCATTGATGATTGTCCGATCTTCAAATCCCCCCACGGCGCTTCCGGACTTCGTGAGCTCGATGAGGAGACAATCTGTTGGCTTAATAAAGATCTTCCTATCTAGATGATGTACTCCCTGATATTATTTGCACGAACAAACGAACTGTAACGATAATACTGTAAGTGCTTTGGTCAGTTCATGGAGGAGCACTATGTAAGAAACTGGTATTATTTTTATTATCATTACTATCTTTTACAATATATATACACATGATTAAGGTTTCTATGTAAGAAACCATTATTATTATTATCATGTTATCTTGTGCAACAACAATATGTAAATATAAGGTTTCTACGGTATGTAAGAAACCTGTATTATCATCATTTTATCTTTTACAACATATATATATAAGGTTTCTATTAAAAAATCTGTATTATTATCATTTTATCTCTTATAACATATTTGTAAGGTTTCTATGTAATAATAATAATAATAATATTAGATTCTTATATAGCGCACGTATCGACCATGCAAGGTCCTCAAGGCGCTCCAACATTACCCGGCTATGCTAGGCTGCCGATTTCGACGCTCATAGCATTTTAAGAAATTCCTTCCTACCGGTACCCATTTAAGAAAACGGTATTAATATTATTTACAACATACGGTATATTAAAGGTTTCTATATACTATTATTATCATTTTTATCTTTTAAAACATATATATAAGGTTTCTATATAAGAAACCGTTATCATTATTATTATTATTGTTATCTTTTACAAGACAAGTAGACTTACTTGTGGTAGTAGTAAGCAACAGCTATAGCTGTGTGAGGGCAAAGTGCGTAGGATTCTTCTTTCCAGCATCTTCTTATAGTCTCTTTGACCGTGTCATCATCCACCGAGTAGGAGCTCACAGTCTCTCGTATCTGAGAAATAATAGTAATAGATGTCTTGTTTACCCAGACTAGCCACTGTACTCCCCAAGGGACCTGGGGGGTCCCCATAATAGAACATAAACGCATGACTTTACGAACGACTTGCATATGAAGTGCCAGATAGGATCCCCAAAGTTTCTAACAAAGTGTGACTATATTTCCAATAACCTCAATTAAATTAAAGCAAAAAATATACTTTGCTTTAAAAATGATTGTTATAATAAGAATGTTAATCTACATCTGCACAGTTCAACTTCAGTTAAAAATGATTGAGCATCCCATTTGGCTTTTCATGTATAAGTCATTCGTAAAATCATGCGTAACTTTACGAACAGCTTTATAAAACAACCCCCTGCAATCATATTATTACCCCAGCTTTAGCCGAGCTAACATTTTAAGGCACTCCAACATTCAAGGAATTTCTTCCTACTCAGGACCAATATACTACTCCTGGGTGGAGAGTGGACAAGGTAGATTAATATCTTTAAAAAAAAGAAGTTTTTAATGTTATTTCTGAAAAATTAACAGAGTAAAAGCAACAATATAATATATAATATCATCTTGAAACTACAAAACAGGCACCCGCTCATGCACCCATATACACATACACACACTCACACTCATAAACTTTCCCCAGGGGGGCAAGTTTACATTACAAAAAGTCAATGAACAACATATCTTGCTAAAGGACGTTAAAGGGAATCGACCCACAGACTGATTAACAGTCTGGACAGCAAGGTATCCACCTCTGTTATAATAGGTAAGAATTCTCATGACACAGTTAAATGTGAGTGTAAGGACCCCTCTAGGGAGACAAGGAAAGTGGTCTTCTTCTTTGTTTGGTATTATAATGGCTATTAGTCAAATTTGACTATTGTTGCCAATTTCATCGCATCTCTTTCTTTTAAAGGTAATACAAAGTTTTGGGAAATTTTGAAAATTGGGTGGATAGTGAATCTTAACAATTTTTATATATTTAGATGCCCCTGTGGATGTTTTATAAGCACTAAAAAAATTAGCCCCTAAAACACTTCTGTTTTCGAGAAAAATTGAATATAAAAATTTACCGGTGCTCCCGGTAAATTTTGATAAATTTCAAATAGCGCCTATGGCCGTACAATGGTAGCTGCGACCATGAAAATCTCAGAATATGTAGTTGGGATATATAATTTAAAAACGGGAATAGCTAATCGGTCGATTTTAGTCAAGAAACATTGTTTCATAGCTAAATTAATATCTTGACCTTGAGAGGGAGCTATACAACATAAAGAGTTTATTATTTATAATTTCATAACTTAAGACTCGATTTCAACCGCGACAACGATCAATGTATATTGTAGGAACGTATATGCTTTCAATATGTTAATTTGAACCAAATTCATGACCCCATACCAAAACTTTGTAATACCTTTAATGTCTTGGTAATGTTTTTTTTTCCAATCTCATTTTAATATAATATTAGTCATAGTCTATCCAGTGTTATGTAACAAAAAGGGACAAATATTTCAAATTAAACCACGATCCGCACACAGGTCCTTATAGGAAGGTAGCCTTTAAAGGTAATACAAAGTTTTGGTAAATTTTGAAAATTGGGTGGATAGTGATTCTTTACAATTTGTATATATTTGGATGCCCCTGTGGATGTATTATAAGCACCAGAAAATTTAGCCCCTAAAACACCTCTGCTTTCAAGAAAATTTGAATTAAAAAATTTACCGGTGCTCCCGGTAAATTTTGATAAATTTCAAATAGCGCCTACGGCCAAACAACGGTAGCTGCGACCATGAAAATCTCAGAATATGTAGTTGTGGTATATAATTTCCAAATGGGAATAGCCAATCGGTCGATTCTAGTCAAGAAACATTATTTTATAGCTAAATTGATATCTTGACCTTGAGAGGGAGCTATACAACATGAACAGCTTATTATTTACAATTTCATCACTTTAGACTCGATTTCAACAGCAACAACGGTTACTGAATATTGTAGGATCACATATGCTTCCAATATGTTAATTTGAACCAAATTCATGACCCCATAGCAAAACTTTATATTACCTTTAAGTAAGGTTCTTTACGTACAGGTTTCAATGGAAACACTGTTCTTGGCAAACAAAATATATGACCTGTAGTAAGTAAGTACTATATTATAGGAGCTAAAATTTTCTAAATGTTATTTGAATCAAACTGATATTCATCATAGATTTCTATTTTAAATTGTCACTTCACTTTACTTTCGCAAATTTGATGATCGTCTGTGCGTCATTAAAGTTTTAAAAATTTGAATATATAAAATTAGAAACCTGATTAATTATCATATGGTTTTAATTTAACATACTGATGATGGTTTCTTTTCCAACAAATATTTTTTAACGGGTGTTATTTTTAGTTATCTTCGGCTTAGTATACAGCATCTCCATATTATAAAAGCCGTATCTGTGTGTAAAATATTAACCTTTTTCCAAAGAACGGAATCCATAGTTGCTTTTCCATCCTTCTCAAATTTGGACATGACGTCCTTGATGTGGGCGCGGTCTCCCCCAGAAAACAGCCACATCACTCTCTCCACATTGTATGGTATCTGACAAAAAATGGGGGTAAAAGAAAAGAATCAATATGGTAAGTTTAACAGATCTGTAATGTTAAGTGAAACTGAGCTCATTTTAAAGCTTATCTATACTAGTTTATAGGAGGGATTAGACAACCCTGCACGGTCACTGGACAGGTGGTTATCTCATCAACTCAGCTCTCAATCAGAAAAAGAGGATCATGGGGGACCAATGGTCACCGATTAGGCATTGTTTTCTATATAGAGGGAGCAAGTAGCTACAAGTAGTACAGTGTGGCTTTAAGAGTTGAGGTATGACCAATGTGTGCAATAAACACAGGTTTTTCTTAGCCTGCAGACACCGATTCTATTTGACTTGTAAACAAAATTCTATCAAGCCTTGAGCCTATTCCAACTTTGTCAACTGTCAGTATCTGACAGGCAAAGATTAAAGGTAAAGACCAGTATTGGAAACGCCCCAATTTCAAAAAATGAAATGGAAGCTCTTATTACCAACCATGTGAAAGAATATGTTTTGACTAAAACATGATGATAACATTTTTGCCGGGAAACCGCCTACTAATTGATGTATTTGGTAAATTAGTTTATCTATTGGTATGTGAGAGATAAACGCACATGTGCGTAGTCCCATATACATCTTTCTGTGTACAGTGCTTGTAACTTTACCAAGACTGGGCCAAATTTCTTATCGTTTTGATGATTCCAGAACCTTGCAGTGCACACCAATACTTATATGCTAGATGATCAACCTTTTCTGATCGATTCCACAATGTTTCTTTCACAATGCAATCGCATGACCAGGGCCCCGTCTTACAAAGAGTTGCGATTGATCCAAATCAATATCAAGTCATCTAATCAATCGCAAGTTTGCTGTCTGCTATCTTTTATGTACATAGTTGCGATTGAAATCAATCGCAAATAAGTTGCGATTGATTTCAACTCTTTGTAAGACAGGGCCCAGTACTCAACTTCATCTTTAAGTACAATCCCTAAGTATGGGGTGCAGTCTACAGTCTTATACACACACACAATATAAGACTTGATTCAACGTTTCATTCCAGATTTGTTTTTTGCTAGAATTAGTGTTCTAGCATAGTCACATAAGTGATGCCCTTTGGAACTATTACATGACACAGGTGGCCTCCGAAATCTTAAACAACTACATTGCGCAACCAAGGCATGATAAGAATCGACTGTTGCAATCAAATCAAGGTTGTAATCGCTAAACAAATATTCAAATTGGCAATGTCCATTGTACTGTCTGCTACTCACTTACTGTGTGAAGAGGTTGAACAGAACATACAAGGGTTTAAATGACAATGATGTTGGATATTATATACATGTAGCTCTTACATGTCAGATGCAAAGACGTGATTGGTCCAGAGCTCGTCACGTGGTATAGATTGCGAGGATTGTAATACAAGCATATTTCATGCCCTGTCATTATTTTATGGTTATATTGACCAGCTATAGTCAAACAAGTTTACTTTTGTGTCATACCATGGGTGCATTCAAGCAATTTTTTTAAAGCTAGAATCACAAATCAAAACGCTGTTAAAAAACATGGTTGCTGCGAGAGAGCGTTCGAGCGATTTTTCATCATCGCTGAGTCTTGCTCATTTCAAGCCTATCCACTGCTAATCACACTGTGCAGTTTGACCCAGGAAGTATAGGTCAACTATACCGATGCTTTCTGTCTGTGTTTATGGTCAACTGTCAGTCAAACCGGAAGCATGCCATATATGATAATGACGTTATAGAATTATGATTGAGATCTTGGTTCGTTCAAGCGATTTTTAGCGTTTCATGTTTGCGTTTTTAAACACGTTTATTTTTATGGCTGAAGAAAACTCGCTTGAACGCAACGCAACCGTGTTTTAAACTAAACGACTTTGAAAACCGTGTTTCTAGGATGAAATAGTGTCGCTTGAACGCAGCCCATATCCAGACAACCCTGGGTGCACTAGCACGTACCCATTGTTTGCATTGTCTTAGCATTGGCATTTGACGCCCCAAGCATAGCTGCTTCAGTTGAGAAAAAATAAATGGCATGAAATCGCAACTACACTTAATCTTATAACAAAATATAATCAAAGCTATATAATATGACAGATATTAATTGGATGGGGGGTGTAATGTACATTTTTGAGACTGCTAGGGTTCTTGCATCAAGTCCTCAGTCTGCAAAGTGGAAACTATGTATGGGGTTATGCACTGTTGGCAAGTTTACCATGCAATGATACCATGCAATTAACAGTACGCTAGGGCAGACAGTTCATCAGTTCAGCATAACGCTTTAACCTGATAAATTTGACAAAAATAAATCCCAAAGAAACTGTTGCCACATGAAAAGTTTGGGCCACCGATGAAAGTGGGTTTAATTATATATGTTACATATGGGTATGATTACCTGGATGTCCATAGCTGGGGAGATGGTGGGCTTTACTTCATTCGTAGAGTAGTCATTGTGACCGAATGTCCTGTGGACGATATCATTACTGTTGACAGCACACACAATCTTGATAGGTAGTCCCATCTTCTTTGCTATACATGCACCTGCATTTGAGGAAATTAAATGGATTAAACTGTTCATCACTGCATAACATGTTAGAAACTCAAAAGTATATCCGTGAAATTCCAATACTTAATAGTTATCAAATTATAACTTTAGTCCTACATGTATTCATTACAACTGTAATATTTAATGTTTTTTAAGTTTCATTGATGTAGCACTTTCAAATCTCTTTCAAACATATCAATGAAGTAAGTGAAATTCCTTCATGTCTGAGGAATACTCTAAAGCTACCTAAGACCCCCTGTTGTAATAGTTGCATTGAAGAAATGGACAAGGATGGATTACATTTACTTGATGTCCCTAAATTTCCACCTATGTATCATGGCAGAAAATACAAGGAGGTAAAAAGCAAAGACAGACATCAACCCCTCCCAGAGCTGAAAGCAGGAAAATACTCAAAGTTAGTCTTCTAGAGCTGTTGATAGGAGAAGTATGTTCCAGGAAACTAAGTTTATGAAGCTACAGAGTGGACACACCTACTAAGGCCTAAAATAAAAACTTGTTGCATTGCCCTTTGCGCCTGACCCAAAAATCTGAAAATCTACAGTCGGCATTTTAAAAAAGCTTTTTTTTTTAACAGTTTTTTTTATTTATTTTTTTTATTAATGAATAAAAAAAAATATCTATTTTGTTTGTTTTAAAATAGGATATAAATGCATGAAATCAAATTATTCCAAAATTCTCACTCGTGCAAACCATGGATAATTATGAGGTGAAAAAGATATCAATGGAATGATGACGCTGAAAAATATCGGCCCAAAGAGGGCGACAAAAAAAAAAGTAAAAAAAAAACAAAACTTTTCCCACCAACCGACCCATGTTTTGGCACCCAAAGGGCAAAACGACAAGTTTTTATTTTAGGCCTAATACTACTCACCGGTCATATTGCCACAGGCACCTGTAGGAATGACCATCTCGACAACCTTGTCACATGATGGACACATGGAGAAGTAGGTGAAGAAGTAGTTAACAATCTGACCCATCACCCTGCCCCAGTTGATGGAGTTGAGAGTACCAAGCTCATGACGCTCTTTAAAAGCAGTATCGGTCATGACAGGCTTGATCACAACATCACAATCATCAGAAGACATGTTGGGTCCTTATAAAGACAATCAAAGGTAAAGGAAGTGATAGAGAAATAAATTTGATTATGGTGCATCTTCAAGTAAACAACTAATCCATCAAGTTATCAATGGATCAATTTACCAACCAACCGTTCAACCAACAAACCAACCTTTCTACCTACTTACCTACCAAGTACCAACCAACCAACCGTGCAATTAACCAGTCAACACTTAAAAAAAACATTAAACCATCTTAAACCAATCATTCAACTGACCAAATATTCAACCATCCAACCAACTGGCAAACTAACCAGTAAACTAACCAATCAACCAATCACCCACCCAATTAACCAACTAACCAACCAACCAACCAATCAATCAATCAATCAATCAACCAACCAAAACATCAACCAACAAATCAATCAATCAACCAACCAACACATCAACCAACCAATCAAACAACCATTCAAACATTCACCCAACCAACCAACCAACCAACCAACCAACCAACCAATCAACCAACCAACCAACCAATCAACCAACCAATCAACCAACCAACCAATCAACCAACCATTTAAACATTCACCCAGCCAACCAATCAACCAACCAATCAACCAACCAACCAACCAATCAACCAACCAATCAACCAACCAACCAATCAAACTACCATTCAAACATTTACCCAACCAACCAATCAACCAACCAACCAACCAACCAACCATCCAACCATTCAACCAACCAACCAACCAACCAACCAACCAATCAACCAACCAACCAATCAACCAACCATTTAAACATTCACCCAGCCATTCAACCAACCAACTAACCAACCAACCAACCAATCAACCACCCAACCATTCAACCAACTAACCAACCAACCAATCCACCACCCAACCATTCAACCAACCAACTACCCAACCAATCAATCAATCAAAATTGAACTCACCATGGAAGATGTGGATATTCCTATCAACGGCTGTGAACATGGAGAGTTTCTGGAGCCGAGAACAGTGAGGTACCAGTACAATGAAATCGATGTAGTCATGATCTCTGATGGCTTCAATAGCTGCACTTCCTGTGTCCCCCGAAGTGCCTGTTAAGATGTACAGGTTCTGTTTTATTACTTTGGAATCTTGCAAGTATTTGGATGCAAGCCCATAGCATGATGCTAGGATGAATTACTACTGAGGAATGTCCATGTTTTGCATATCACACATGACATGTATTCTTTTTTAATCTTGCAACTATCCTCACTAAATTGATATCTCTATTGTGTTCAGTACCACAGCTCAAGTTCCATTCTTGTACCATACAGAGGCAAGTCCTTACTTAGAATTCCACAACGTGATATTTAATATTTCTTGAAGTAATTTATATTTACTGAGGAGTGTCAACATGACAGAAACTACTTTAATCCAGTTTTTAGTTTTCCACATAAAACTTATAGAGAACCAATAGTGCATACTGTATATGTACATGTACACTGCACAATCTACTTGTATTTATATATATATATATTAGTGATTGTCAAATTCCTTTGTATAGTTTGTTCCCAAACTTAATGACACATAAGATTAAGAAGCAAATCAAAAGTGGAGTGAACAAGGAGATGAAATACTTACCAACAATAAGGATAATATTCTTCTTCCTTTTTGCAAGAAAGTACTTCATGAACTGGCCCAGGGTCACCATAGACAGGTCCTTGAAGGCCAGGGTCCTGGTATGGAATAACTCTGCAACGTTCAGGCCGTTGGACAACCTTGTCACTTTGCTCACTTTTGGATGCTTCAATTTGGCAACAGCTTGATCAACAATGTCTAAAACATAGAAGAATTAAAGACCGTCAATACTACTGGGCCAGAAGGGATTAGACCACACAGCGAGGTCACTGACAGGTGGCTATCTCATTAACCCAGCTCTCAACTAACATAAGAAAAAGAGGATCATGGAGGACCAACAGGCACCGATTGGGGAAGTTTTCTATAAAGACGGAGCAAGTAGCTAAAAGTAGGGCAGTGGGGCTTTAAAAGAAAGGGGTAAACTTCAAAGTACGAAGATACACCAGCAACATGGTGGCCTGAACTTCAACAGAAGAAAAAGTAGAAGAAGAAGAACTTGCTATAATTAAATTCAGCTCTTCCGAAACTTTGTCCTTGGGGTTCAAGGGGGGGGGGGGGGGGGGTGATACCATTTGCCCAAATAACAACTTTCAGATTGTGGGCAAGTAAACCATGCTAGTGAGAGATAGAGAGAGAGAAAAAAACGTTTATGAATGTTATGTCATCAAAGTACAGTAAATTAAAGTAGGTACCTTGGCGTCCAAATATCAGGATATTCTGGCATTTAATTTAATTGAAGCAATGTGTTCATTACTAGATCTATGGTGTTTTGTCTGATTCATATACCATTACTGCTGGAGTCCCTCAGGGTACGAAAATGGGTCCTTTCATATTTTTAGTTATGATTAATGACTTTAAGTTTAAAGTAAATAATAACATATACCGCGGTAGTCTACACTGTACACAATTTTAAATAGGCCTATGGTTATTTGTTCTGTCGTAACTCTCTTAGACCCCTGTTACAGTGAGCAAAAGGCCTGGCCTCGCACTGTAAACGCGCAAAAGGCCAAATGCGAGGCCAAACTGGCCGCACATTTGGCCCTGCTCTGGAGGTAGTCTCGGCCGCGGCCTGGCCGGTATGGCCTGGCTTTTTCTCACTGTAAACGCACCAAATGCGCGACGCAATTTTCTCACTGTAAACGGGGTCTTAGTCTAACTAACTGTAGACCTATGTCTGTAGTGTACGTAGTCGTACTCGTAGGCCTAATTATTCAAGCTAGACTCTAGATCTATATTATGAGGGTCTAGATCTAGATGATAGATCTAGAGTCTACTGTCATTTGTCATATTTCTAGTATTCATGGTCCTGAACTACTGAATGATTCAAGGTAAAGGTATATATTATATTTAATTTCCAATTTTATCTCACCATTTAAATCAGAAGTCGGGACTTCATCTTCGCCGACGAACAGCGGGAATATCTTCTTGCAGAGTTGGGCGTACGAGAGTGAGGACCATTCTTGCAGAGAGCTCGCCGAGAGCTCGGGGATAACTTCGGGTATGAGAAGCCCTCCGTCTGGTAAATAGCCCGGAGAGAATATCGCTTCTTCGAACGAAAATTTGCCAAATTCGTCTGATCTTGTGCCAACGTACTTCATCTTGAAGCTGCAGCAGTACTATTGGACATGAAGTAAACCCTGAACCACTTTTTGCGATGCCTGATGCGAGGTAATGATAGCACGAAAATAACACTCGACGTAGATATAAGTTACAACGTACTACCAAGAAGAGCCCAATTGGCCAGGGATATGGATCGGAGGAACATCATTGAACCGTACCCAACAGGCAACAACACTGGCCTGGAAATGAGCGCTAGTCTGAAAATCAGACTCCAGTCTGATTTTTCCCTCTCTCTCTCTCTGTCTCTCTCTCTCTGTCTCTGTCTCTCTGTCTCTCTCTCTCTCTCTCTCCCCCCTCCCTCCCCCCTCTCTCTCTCTTCTTCTTATTTTTTCTAACTGATGAGCGACCGTAAGCAACAAGCTGATTATTCTGTCTGTCTCTGCCCCCCCTCTCTCTCTCTCTCTATTATTCACACTAGCTGACTCCCTTCTTTGTGTGTGTGTGTGTGTCCGTTGGGGCAGTGGGTCTTTTTCTTGTTTGTTTGAGAAATATTCTAGTACTAAATTCAAGAATGACATTTTAAAAAAAACAATACAATTTCATTTTCAATAACACATTGTTTAATCAATATAACATATAGTTATGTGATGAAATGGTATTCGATTAAAACACCTAAACCAAAATCCAATGGACCAGTCCAAGCTTCTGCCCTGTACGTCACAAACCACATCTAAGGCCAAATAAAAAAACAAAACATGTTTAGCGTTCTGTTTTTTCGAATATAGGAAGGAGGAGGCCCTTTTTATTTTTTATTTTTTCTTTCAAAATGGCCGCTCAAAATGGCCGCTAGGTACATTTTCCCTGACAGTCGAGGCTATTTTTTTTTAAAGATGGCCGCCGACAATTTTTTTTTTTTTTTAAATCAGAAATAGAGCCATTTTAGCAGTGTTTTTCATGTTTTTTTTTCTTTCAAAAAAAAAAAAAATTCAAAAAAAAAAAAAATAGGAGGCGGCCCCCAAAAAGGAAGCGGGCGGGGACGCTAAACATGTGTATTTTTTTAAATGGCCTAATAACTGATGATTGTATCAATAAAGTAAATGGCTCTACTACTGCTAGAGACTACTATTATAATAGAGCTTTTGCCAGACCAAACATGACATTTTAGAACTTTGCGACGTATAGGCCTATAGGGACAACAAAATTACCAATAACACTGGATTTGAACAAATAAAAGCGGTGATGTAGGAGATTGCTCACTTAAAAGCATGGGGGACAGAGGGGGGGGGGGGGGGGGGGGGGGCAACCATACCGTTTAAGTCTATAGTATACGCCTATAGTTCAAAATATTTTGTAAGGGTTAAAATGATAGATTCATTGTGATAAGCTGTTTTACGACACTTTCCCCCGAAGCTTTTGCATGCCTTAAGGTGAACTCTTCATTATACAACGATAATTCGACAATGAATGAACAAAATAATGAATAAAGTAAACAAATATATTAACAATGATATGAAATAAGTTATAAGAACAATAAATTGTAAGTACTATTAATGCACCAACTGTAAATAAATTATTGAAATATAATTTGGTAGAATAATAACGTACGGCCTTATATTGACTACCCGTTTTAATTTTTTAAAGAGTAAGAATTTAATTATAATGATCAATAGTGATATAATACTCGTCTTAAAATAAAATATGTTATAACAGTGATAATGTACACTCCATGACATTTCATATAAAATGTAAAATAGTATTATACATATCTAAACACCAGCTTAGTGCTTAGCCAGGATTTGCTTCTGAAGCAGTGGGTAATAAGCAGGGTAATATAGGGTTGCAGCGACATGCAAGTATCTCTAGTTTCTGGGAGGGGGGGGGGGGGCACAGGGTTTGAAAAAATGTTATGATGAAGCGTTTTACGCTGGTATTAATTTTTTCAGAGGAAATTTGATTATGTCCCTCCTATCTTGAATGATCCTGTTCTTATGCATAACCAAAAAATGAAGTGTTTCTATATTAAATCATCGTAACATCTTTAGGCGCGTACGCAGGATTTTTTCAAGGGGGGGGGGGGGGGGGGGGGGGGGTTTTAACATTTTTAAATCGGCCCGAAAAATTCGCAACGACTCAGCTAGCCGCTGAATAAGCGGGGGGGGGGGGGGAATAAGGGGACACATTTTATTTATTTATTTTTTTGTTCTCGGAATTTGGAAATTTGACATTTTGCTCCGTTGGGGGGGGGGGGGGGGTAAGGTCAACTTTTTTAGGTCAGTCATTGGCATAATTTTTTTAATTTTTTATCAAAACAAAAAAAAACGAAAAGGGGGGAGGGGTTTTGCTAAAAAAATACACGCATTAAAAATACTGAAGGGGGGGTGTTCAACCCCCCCCCCCCTGCGTATGCGCCTGATGGGGACACATGTTATTTTAGGGTGGGGCACGAGCCCTGAGTGCAGGCGCGTACGCAGGGGGGGGGGGGGGGTTGGGGGTTGAACCCCCCCTTTGGTATTTTTTATGTGTGTATTTTTGAGGACCCCCCCCCAGTCCTCTTACCCCCCCCTTACCCCCCCCCCCCCCCCCCCCCCCGCTTATTCAGCGGCTGGCTGAGTCGTAGCGATTTTTTTGGGGGACCAAAGAAAAAAAAAAGTGTCCTCTTACGGGGAGTAAGAGGACCCCCCTCCCCCCTCCCCCTCCGCTTATTCAGCAGCTAGCTGAGTCTTTAGCTAGCTGAGCTTTACATGAATAGCTCAAAAGAGTCCAAATTGCGAAAGGGAATCAAGCCAAGATTTATATTTTTTCTCATGAAATTTTAATGGTGCAGAAAAAATATGTAATAATCTGTGAAATAGGCCTTCCTTTAAAATCGATTTAGTATTATAGAACTGCGGTAATATCTTTAACAAAACTGAATATGAACCCGGATCAAATAAAGTAATGATGATGATATTAAAAATGGAAAAAAAGATATAACAATAAAAACCAATTTAAAAAAAAACATATGATTGTATTTCATGGGATTCTCTGGTCCACACATTTTCCCTCCTTTACCTCTTTCTTCCTATTTTCCCGTTACATTTTGAGAGGTTTTCAATTTTGTGGTAACAAATTTGTGGTTACATTCATTGCATTTAACTCCCTTTTTCTTTGAACCGTTTACAAGAACTTCTTTCTCAACGAAAACCTGAATACCATATATACTAAACATTTTATGTATACATTAAATTTATGAATATGATTTTGTTTATGGTTGAACGCCTATAGTAGGAGGTTCGAGAGGTCCTGTATTACCCCTTTGCCCTTCTTCGTCTGAATCGTTATCCTCGAAATCATCGCCGCTGTCGTCCACCTCGCTTCTCTGATGGCTGTCGACACTATCGTCGCCATCGTTTCTTCTCTGCCTGCTGGTAGAGTGGTCGTCATCGTCACTGACATCGTTTGTATTTCTTCTGTACCTACTGTCAGCGCTACTGTCGCCATCATTGCTGGCGCTTCTTATATGTCTGCTGTCAGAATCATCGTCCTCGTCGTCGCTAAGATCACCGGCTTGTCTCCGTAGTCTGCTGTTGCTATCGCTTCCAGATGTTCCAGAATGACTAATGTCATCGTGGGCTCGTTTCTGTCGACTATCATCGTCGTCATCGCTTTCATCGCTCACCTCTCGACTGTGCCTACTGTCCGAGTCGCTCTCGACGCTGCTCTCCACCGAGTGACTGGCGATAATATCGCTCCTGTCGCTCTCATCACTCGAATCGACGTCGTTGCCGTCGGGAAATGGTGGGTGTTCATTCTCGTCGTGGTCGCTATGACTTTGGATGGCGACATCGAAGTCGGGTACGGTCCTTGCTGTGCCGGTGATCGCCACGTCCGGAACGACCTCACGTTTGCCCTTGTCCAGCCAAAGTCGACTTGGATTCAGAACTTCATTCGATCTTCCGTCGTCATCTCTGCTGTCTGACCGAGAAGCACTCTCAGCGTGGTTGACGATCGAACGAGCTGATACGACAGCCAGCACGAGGCACAATACGATAAAGAATTGTGTCGCTCTGGAACCCATGGTATATAGATGCAGTGCCTAGAAAGAACAACGATGGAAATGGATTGAGGATATTATAGGCATATAGTATAATGGTCATGATTGTGAGCAATGTTCTCGTAACTGTGCTAACTCGAAGAAAGTAGTGGTGGTGATGGTGGTGGTAGTTGGTAGTAGTAGTAGTAGTAGAAGTACTGGTGGAGTGGTGGAAGTATTATTAGTAGTCGTTGTGGTGGTATCAATATTAGTAGCAGTAGCAGTAGCAGCAGCAGAAGTAGTACAAGAGCGAAATTAATGTTTGTTATGTTTATATTTTTTTTTTAAACACCCAAAAAGAACACAATTTGAATTTTCAACGTGAGACATAATCTAAATCTAAAGAACTATAACAAAATAATATGAGATGGACTGGACTGTCTTTAAAGTGAGCAAAATTAACCGAAAGACGATCGCTGCCAGGTCGGTTAATAGCCCCCAGCATACTAACCGCCGCACACGTACATTCTAATTTTGTATATAAAACAAGCTGATTTTTAATTACAAATTTTATGGTTATTTCATGGTTAAGTTTTTCCCAATTTGTATGTCCTTTTTCATTTGGTATCTACAACTTCGTAATAGTACCAATCATCTACTATTTATTAAAATATTTTTATATCAGCAGTTAATGATATTGGTTAACCCTAGAACAATTATCTTCTTTTTGTATGAAAGGGTATGAAAATTATATCATACTACATTTTTGTTTTGCATAAACACTGAATATTCAAGAGCAATATATAGCATTGAACTTGGGGAATCCCCGACAATCGCTCACAAATTGGCACTGCGTCAAGAATGCGCGCGTGTCCTGCCATGCATGAACCATTAAAATTCAACTTGGACCATAGAGATCTGCACTCGCTCCGCGGCCGCACCTGGTGAGGCCTTCTTTCGTGACGACCCGAAACCTATACCAGAGGTTTTCCCGGGTTTTCCTGACATAGCAACAATATGAAGGCCCTTCGATTTACCAGGAGATCCCTGGTTTTACACAAAGTCATGTACATGTTTTTTCCTTATATAGTGACGACTCGGACTGAGGCTTGAACAATAGGAGCTTTTCTTGGAGGGGG